TCCTAAATGAGGGGTTTGTTTCTAGTTTTGTGCCCTTGGAGCCATCCTCCCCAACACACCTGCTGGAGACAGATCTAAAAATGTGATCTGATTACATCAATTTGAGTATAAAACATTACTCTGCGTATAGGATCGCCTATAGGAAAAGTTCAAGCTCATTAATCAGACAGCTGCGGTCCTTTGGGGCTAGCCCCTGCCTCTCTCAGCAGCATTGCTTCCCTCCACATGATGACCAACTTTGTGCTCCACAACATGGCTGTGCTCACAGAATTCCCATATAAATAATGCAAGTTTTCATTTCTGTCTTTGTCCAAGGTAGTCCACGTTCCTGGTTTGCCCTGCTCTTGGCTCACTGAATTGTTATTTCTTTTTGATTGAAGGATAGTTGACGCAAAATGTTACATTGGTTTCAGGTATACATTGGTTTGGCAAATTCTTACCCCTCATTTGAAAGTTATGAGAAATGACTAAAGAAAAAGACTGACAACATACAAAAATTAAAATAGCGAAATATACCATTAGCAAAGCTAAGATAGAGTGGAAGTTATATTTGCAACATATGTAACAAATTAATAGCCATAATTTATAAAGATCTCTCTAAAAGTCTCTTAAAATGACCAAACATAAAAGTCGACAAAGGATATCAATAGATAATTAACAGCTGTAAAAATGCAAATGTTTAGAACCCTTCAAAAAAAGTGCCCAGATTTTGTCTAATAGACCGCAAAGAAATGCAAATTAAAATGAGAGTCCATTGTTTTTGTTGTTGTTTGGTTTGGCATTTTGGGGGGGGGGTTGTTTGTTTTTTGTTCTTTTGCTTATCAGTTTGGCAAACACTAAAATATTGATAATATTAAGTTAACATGAGAGCACTGTTGGGGCGCCTGGCTGGCTCAGTTGGTTGAGTGTCCAACTCTTGCTTTCAGCTCAGGTCATGATCTCAGGGTGATGGGATGAATCCCCTGGGCAGGCTCTGCACTTGAGGGGACTCTGCCTGAGTTTCTCTCTCCCTCTCCTTCTGCCCCCGCCCCCACACAACCCTGCTAAAGCACCCTCTCCATGTTCATGCTCTCTTTTGCTCTAAAATAAATACATGAATCTTAAAAAAAAAAAAGGGGGGGTGGGAGAGCACTGTTATACACCTGTTTGGAAGGCAGTTTGGCAGTGAAGATTTAAATGACTCAGCAGTTCCAGTTCTAGAATTCCCTGTCTGTATGCTCCCACCCCAAATAGGTACAAAGAATGTAAGAACGAATGTCCAAGGGTATTCATTACATCATTGTTTGGTGACCTCTAGATGCCTGTCTACAGAAGAAAGGTTATACTGTGGAATAATCATCAAAAAGAATAAGGTAGAACTCTGTGTCTTGACGTGAAAATAAATACATTGTTATCAATAGGTGTATGAGTTAACTATTTCTATATAACAAGCACCCCAAAACATAGCAGCTTAAAATAACATACATTTATTTTAGAGTTTCCATAGGTCAGGAACCCAAGGGTGACTTAGCTGAGTGGTTCTGGCTCCGGTTTTGTCATGAACAGCACAGGGAAGCTGTCACCTGGGGCTGCAGGTATCCGAAGCTCCAGTGGGGCTAAAGGATCAGCTTCCAAAGTCATTCACATGGTTGTTAGCAGGCGCCCACCATGTGGGACCCTACACAGGTTGCCCAAGTGTCTCTATAATATGGCATCTGGCTTCCTCCAGGCTGAGCTGACAGTTCAAGATGGAAGCTTCAGTCTTTTATAAACTAATGTCAGCGAGCGATGCTCTCACTTCTGCTGTCTTATTGGTCACACAGACCAGCCCTGGTGCAACGTAGGAGGAATTGACCAAAGGTGTGACTACGAGGAAGCAGGGATCTTGGAGGCTAACCCACCACAATAGGCTTTTGAAAATAGTAAATTATACACAAATAGGTAGATGTCCTAATTTTATCATTTTTTTAAAAGGGGGATTATTATGTATACATAGATATGTAAGAAGAACTTAAAGGTTTGCACCAGGAGCCAGCTCTGTGGTGTTGGTGTGGGGTTGGGGGTGAGGGATCTTGAAGTTAGCATGTTCAGTTACTGTTCTAAAGTTTGTTTCTTTTTACATATTATAATAAGAACGGCTCATGTTTGCGATTAAATATAATGAAATAAGACCATATTTCCTTCTCCAGGATGTCTTGAGAAAGCTGATTTTATTGTCGTCTTTGTTGCTCCCCTGTCTCTGACAGGAGGCCCCACTGTGGCATAAGCATCATTGTGTTGCCTCACCTTCACCTGTGAATCCCTAAGAACTGAGATGAGTGTTCATCTTTGAATTCTCCATGGCTAACCACCTGCCTGGCCCCAAATACTCACTCTGTTTGCCAAATGAATGAACTAAAGGATTTACTTAATGCCATCAATATGTATTAAGTAGCTCCAAAGATAATGGAGCTTGATACCAGTAGGTCAAATAGCTTTTTGACCTTCAGATCTACATTCTTGTTCAATTAACCTTGCTAAACATAGTATTCTTGTTTTTCCCATTTTTCTTTAGGAGCTTATCTAGTAATTGGTGTGGGAGATGGTACTAATTTTTTTAAATGAAAGCCCTAATGGAAAAAATTATATGCAATAAAGTGGAGAAAATTAATTGTTTCATGCCAATGTAGGTTTCCAGTATGAAGCTAAATTTTCTTGCCTAAATGAGAAGGGTAAGATAGCTGAATCAGCCCCAAATCTTTTACCTAATGTTAGGATCACAAATGGAAGCAATTATAATTGCTGGCAGAAATGAATCATTCCAAAACTAGGTTTGTGCAGACATTTCTTTATTGTGTTCACTTAAGGTGGCTTTTATTGGAATGGTCCCCAGAAGCAGAGATCTGTTATTTGCGGATTTCTTTGAAAAGTTAATCTTCAAGTTTCTTAAAAATCTGAGTATACTTTGTTTATATGCTTATACTACACACATACATGTAAGGTTACTTAAGACCCCATTTCCTAAAGAGAGAACATCACTTGAAAAACAGAGTCCATGAACCAGCCAACAGTGTGTAACCATAGCTGTTAGCAACAAAAACAAAGAATTTCCCAGGGAACCAGAAGACCAGGTTTTGGTAAATTGCTTTCCAGTGTTATTCCTGGAAAGCTGACACACTGAGCCATTTGCAAACATTTTCTTGAGTGTCCACCTGAGGGGGGCAGGGAGGTGGCCCTATTAGGCCATGGGCCAGACTGGTTGAAACCTAGATCTCTCCCACCAACGTGATCTCCCAGCACATGCAAAGCTGGCCCTGAATAAGGACTGCAGTGATGCTGCCAGTCCCTGGTGGAAATTATTTTTCTGCTCTGGTAAAAATAATCGCGGCTTCAGTATCCGGGCTGGAATTGTCTAGGAGAAAACAAAACAATCTCTAAAGAAACGGTTCGTGTATATTATTAGTTCTTGCAGCAGATAAGGGTTAGGAGGTTGGGATCCCCATGGGAGTGGGTGGGTAGGAAAAGTGAACGGAAGGGAGAGGTGGTGCGCAGCAATTTCAAGCTCTCTTCCTCGTTCCCAAACCCTGGCCAAGTCCATAATTTTAAAGCAGCGCGAAAACTGAATGTGTCTGGCTTTTAGCTGCGACCTCGGCTGAGCGAACCCCTTTACTGAGTTGCCGCGTCCGGGCGTTACTTTCCAGGGAACGAAATTCAGACCGAAGGGTCACAGAAGCTTTGTGCACGCAGAAAATAAAGATTTCCTTTTTCTTTTAGCCAGATGGAGGTAAACAGCTCTCAAGTCCTGCAGGGGCCCCGGGAGGTAAGAGGTTGGCTTTGCTCCCCAAAGCCGCCAACGACAGCCCGGCAGGCTGCGGTCGGTTCCCAAGGTTCCAGAGAAAGCTACACCTAGTCTCGGCGCTGTCTTGGCCGGGAGTTCCCGCCCACGCTACGCCCTCCCTCCCCGCTACTCCCCGCAACGCACCCCCCTGCACCTCCCAGCGTGGCCAGTCGCTCCCCGCCCACCCCGGGGGCACTGTCGCCCCCGCGATCCACCAGATCAGTGGAAGGTTCTCCCTCCAGAGACTTTAGCTTTTGCTTTTATGCTTATTTCACATCCTTACCCCACTTGGAACGTGTGAGCCAGGCTCCGCAGTCCGGCAGGGCCACAGAGCCCCCACCCCCGAAACTGCCCCAGAGCCACGCGAGTCATCCCAGTTGCCTCCCTGAAAAGCGCACGGACTGGGGAGCGCGTTGCCCGCGACGGGAAGAGGCCAGCCTTGGCGTCCTAAAGCACGCCGGGGAGGCGTCCTGGGGCGGTGGGTTTCTCCAATATGAGGGCGCGGGCGCCCAAGCATCAGGGAGCCCCGCAGCCCTCTGGCACCGACTTTTCCCCCTCTCCGGGCCGGCAGCTGGACAAGGTCCCGCGGCTGTGCCAGTAGGGGCGGCGGACAGAAAAACCTCTGAAGCTCCAGAAGGGAGGGGCAAGGTTGAGGCCGAGGGTGCTGTCACTTGTTGCCGCTAATAAGCTCGACCCTGGAGCGCTGTTGTTTCCACAATCTTTAGCTGTGCCCGGGATTCCCCCACCCCACTCTCCTGGGCTCGGAGCTGGAAGGAAGAGGCTAGCGTGAGCGGCTGACATTGCGGTGGGAGAGGGGAGGGCGCCCGGAGAGCCCGCCTGGATGGGCGCTGGGGTGCCGCTAGCTGCAGCTGCCCGGGCTTCCAGGTGCAGAGCGTCCGCCCTGACTGGGAAACCGCGCGGGACGCAACCCATCGCAGCTCGTCACATACTTACAAATCGCTGTCGCTAGGTTTCCCGCCACTCCTCTCAGACCAGCCCCCCCGCCCCGCCACTTTTCGGAGTCCCCCGCCCTCATCACTGCCTCCCGGGAGCTGCGGGGCAGTCGGACGCGGAGCCGCGGAGCCGCGAGGACGCCTGGCTGGAGGTGCCCTCTGCAGCGAGTCGGCGCCCCTTGCCCTTCGCCGCGGGGTTGGGCGGTCACCCCTGCCGCCCTCGCTCTGCCGCTCGCGGCTCTCTTCCCCGCTCTCCTCCCGCAGGTCCCCGAGCTCCACCGCCACCGGGTGCGGCGCGGCAGGCGCGATGCGGCATCTGTGCCGGGGCCGCGTGCTGGGCATCTCGGTGGCTATCGCGCATGGGGTCTTCTCGGGCTCCCTCAACATCTTGCTCAAGTTCCTCATCAGCCGCTACCAGTTCTCCTTCCTGACCCTGGTGCAGTGCCTGACCAGCTCCACGGCGGCGCTGAGCCTGGAGCTGCTGCGGCGCCTGGGGCTCATCGCCGTGCCCCCCTTCGGCCTGAGCCTGGCGCGCTCCTTCGCGGGGGTCGCAGTGCTCTCCACGCTGCAGTCCAGCCTCACGCTCTGGTCCCTACGCGGCCTCAGCCTGCCCATGTACGTGGTCTTCAAGCGCTGCCTGCCCCTGGTCACCATGCTCATCGGCGTTCTGGTGCTCAAGAACGGCGCGCCCTCGCCCGGGGTGCTCGCGGCCGTGCTCATCACCACCTGCGGCGCCGCCCTGGCAGGTGAGCGGGACCCGAGCCCACCCCCGGCCCACCCTACCCCACCCGACAGAGATGGCGGGGATCACTTAGTGCAAGGCCGTCACTTCCAGATGGAAGGCAGAGAAAGGCTTGAAAGAGGGTGCTCGGCTCGCTAACGGGACTTCTGAGACCATGCCGTGCCTTTCCCAGCGCTCCTACCTCCCCCTTCAGAGCGCACCCCTCCCCCCAGTGCAGGCTTCCGACCCCCGCCCCTGCCTAAACCGGTATCGCCCTCTCCGCCTTCCCTTCCCTCCCTCCCCCAACCTCCCCTCTCCTCCACCCTGTCTCCCTTGCTCCCTCCAGGAAGGGTGGGGGAGCCTCCAGAGCCTGGGAACTGGAGCCCCCAGGCTGAGTCGGAAGAAGAGGGACCGTGAACTTCCCTGGGTCACGCGGAGCTGGAGTGGTGGGGGACGAGGGACAATGGAAACCAAGCCTGAGCCGCGGAGGCTAATTTGGGGGTCTCTGGCGCCGCGGGAGGTGCTGAGGGGGCGGATTGAGCCCCACTTGAGGGCTGAGCTTGCAGGACTGAACCCAAAGGGAGCCGGCGGGAACGGGAGAAGGGTCGAGAGATAGAGAGAGAAAGAGAGAAACACGTTCGCTCGGCGCCCAGCCCGCCCCGGGGTTAGAAGAGACTAGCTGGGGTTCCCTCTTCTTTCCGGAGCACCACGGAGAAGGCCAGGGTACCATGCGCCTGGGTGACCTCCATGCCTACCCGGGGGCACTTGCGCTCTCCCGGGCCTTTCTCTTGGACAGAACTAGCCAGGGTGCCCCAGGATATGGCCCGGAAGGCGCCACCGATTATACCTGGAACTGGGCATTGGCTGAACTTGGCTCTTTTTATACGCGTGGGCAGAGCTGGGACGCGAACCCTGTCTACTCCCCAACCCTACCCGTCGTCCCAGTAATACCCACCCTCGCCAACCCGGTGTCTTCTCTTTTTCCTTCCTGCCCTGGCTCCGCGGTTCTCCTGGGGCGCTCCAGGAGCTGGCGATCTGACCGGCGATCCTATCGGGTACGTCACGGGAGTGCTGGCAGTCCTGGTGCACGCCGCCTACCTGGTGCTCATCCAGAAGGCCAGCGCCGACACGGAGCACGGGCCGCTGACCGCTCAGTACGTCATCGCCGTGTCCGCCACCCCACTGCTGGTCGTCTGCTCCTTCGCCAGCACCGACTCTATCCACGCCTGGACCTTCCCTGGCTGGAAGGACCCGGCCATGGTCTGCATCTTCGTGGCCTGCATCTTGATCGGCTGCGCCATGAACTTCACCACGCTGCACTGCACCTACATCAACTCTGCGGTGACCACCAGCTTCGTGGGTGTGGTGAAGAGCATCGCCACCATCACAGTGGGCATGGTGGCCTTCAGCGATGTGGAGCCCACCTCTCTGTTCATTGCCGGCGTGGTGGTGAACACCCTGGGCTCCATCATTTACTGCGTGGCCAAATTCTTGGAGACCAGAAAGCAAAGCAACTACGAGGACCTAGAGACGCAGCGTGGGGGAGAGGAGGCACAGCCAAGTGGAGATCAGCTGCCATTCGTCATGGAGGAGCTGCCCGCGGAGGATGGAAATGGCGGGTCAGAAGGTGGCAAGGCAGCAGGTGGCTCCACTCAGAAGAGTGGGCAAGAGGCAAGGGGCAGCCCCAGAGGAGGCCCGCTGGTGGCTAGGAGCTCACACAACACAGCCTCTGGCCCAGAGGAAGTGAGCAAGAGGTCACTGAAGGATGCTTACCTCCAAGTGTGGAGGTTAGTTAGGGGAACCAAGTACATGAAGAAGGATTATTTGATAGAAAATGAGGAGTTACCCAGTCCTTGAAAAGGAAATGCATGTATGTATATATGTACATACACTTATTTTGTATGTTAGAGATACCGTATTTTAATGAGGGGCTGCCTGATTTTATTCTTTGAGGAGTGGGGAAGGGAAGCAAAGAAGAAAACTGTAACAGACTGACAGTAACAGCATAAGCACAGTGTGAATTATTTAGCGTGAGCTTACCTGAGGCATCACAGAGACAAAAGCATGTGAAGGTGCTTAATGAGGGAAAGCAGCAGTTCTGGCTGCAGACTTCTGGCACACGAATTGTATGTCTTTATAACCGTAACCAAATATCTGCATGTACTTAGAATTCCTCAGTCCACCCCTTCCAAAGATGGAGCATAGACAGGATGCCCGCACTTAAAAAGCTCAAAGAGGACCCAGGTACATCTTCAGTGATAGTAGAGCTACAGTTTTTATAGCCAGCTGAGCAAGAGTATATTATTGAAATAATATATATACATATATATGTCTGTATACATCTGTATACATATAGACATCTATATACATCTGTATATAGACATATATATACACTGGATTGATGTTTACTGTTTGTAGTCATCTGAAATATGTTTGCTCTGGTTTTTCTTCACTTTAAAAAAAATAAGTATTCTATTATTCTGTTGTATATTGGTAGAAAATGTTAAAGGTATTTTGAATATATGAGTTCTTAGCTTTAAACCCGAAGTTTAAAGCTGGTTTTTAGTAATTATAAAACTATTTTAAAGGTTGTTTGGGTTCATTGCTTCATAATATTTATTATTGAATGCCGTAACCTTTTGAAAAGCCAGTTTTACTGTGTCCAATATTCTTTCAAGCAAATGCAAAGGCTGAACAATAATTCGGTATTAACTGAAGCCCAAACAGAAGTGAGTCTGTCCCATTAAGCTAGCTCTTTCGAGTCACACTGCCCATCCCAAACCTGTTGCAAAAACAGCACCTGCTATATTCACTTTATGATATTTTTCTATCTTACATTTGTGAAAATAAAGTATGAGCCTCTCTGCTAAAAGACAAAGTGTTATAAATTTGTTTCAGACACATTTATGTTCTACTGTTGCTATGTAGGGGGCCACCCCATGGAGAAGTTCTTCAATTAACAGGTCAGTTTACTTTAAAACAACATCAACCACCACAAGGACAGTCTCATTTTCCAGTCAAGAAAACCATTATAAAGTAAAACAAAATACTGCCTCATGTGGCACAATGAGAGCCACCCACTGCTGACGTCAGTGAACATGGTGCCTGAGATGTAATAGGAGAGTGCACCCAGAGGGAATCCTCCAGAGAGGTAACTTGAGACAAGGCACTTTTATTATTTGCCAGCATGTTCCTGAGACACTCAGATGGTAGTATCCCATATTTTTCAAAAAATGAAACTAAAGGCAGAGTCAAAAATGGAAGTTTCAGCTTCATCAGTTTGACTCCACAAGCCTGTGAGCAAGTGTGATGTGGCAACTTGTGATGGTGCTGGGTTACGGGTGGTCACAGGCATTTCCTCATTTCCACAGGTACCTCTCCACGCCATTGGAGATGTAGGAGCCCTCATGTGTCTGCAGTTAAAAATGGCTGGTGAGGGTTATTACGACTTCCTTAAAAATAAGAATTAATGTTGACGCCCACATGCCAGGAGACCACCACCTGTTGCACCTCTGTGAAGCAGAGAATGAAAAGCAGCAAAGTTGAATAAAGGATATGTATTTTTGTTAATACCATTGTCAGAGAAATGGAGAGCATGGTTGTTTTTCACTGAAAAAAAAATTCCTTTTAGGCCAAAAATGTGGGTTTGCATTTACTGAAAATAGGTGAACTCTTTCCTGTCTCTGTAGAGACATTGTATCAGAGTTCTCCAGAGAAATAGAACCAAGAAGATGTGTGTGTATAGATAGATAGATAAGTAGAACCAAGGAGATTATATCTCTATCTATCTATCTATCTATCTCTCATCTATCTATCTATCTATCTCAGAGAGAAGGAGATTAGGGAGTTGGCAATTGTGGGGGTTGGCAAGTCTAAAATCTGTAGGGCAGGTTGGCAGGTGGGAAACTCAGGGTTTTTATGTCACAGTCTTGAGGCAGAATTGCTTCTGCAAACCCCAGTCTTTAAGCTGAAGGCCTTCCACTGATTAGACAAGGCTCATTCACTTTTTTTTTTTTTAAGATTTTTATTTATTTATTTGACAGAGCTAGATCATAAGTAGGCAGAGAGGCAGGCAGAGAGAGAGAGGAGGAAGCAGGCTCCCTGCCAAGCAGAGAGCCCGGTGCGGGACTCGATCCCAGGACCCTGAGATCATGACCTGAGCTGAAAGCAGAGGCTTAACCCACTGAGCCACCCAGGCGCCCGGTCATTAACTTTCTGAAGGACTTTCTCCTTTATTCAAAATCTACAGCTTGTAAATGTTAATCACATCTAAAATATGTCTTCATAGTAACAACTAAACTACTGTCTGAGCAAATACCTGGGCACCACAGCCTGGCCGGGTTCTCACATCAAAGTAACCATCACAGACACTTAGAGTGGGAGGGGACAGTGGGGAGTGTGCAAGGATGGAAAAAAACCAGGAAGATCAAAAGTGGAAGTTCTGTCACATCCATTGGTTTGGGCCAACCTTGGGAGTCTCTAGATGGTTGAAGAAAGTAAGTCTTGAGGCATGTCAGAAAGTGAGTCAGTGCCGGGAGCTCAGGCATAGGAGGGCATGAGCAGAGGCTGGCCTTGCCTGGCTTCTAAATCCTTCTTCTATTGGCAGTAGCACTTAGGTCCACCTAACAGATGCAGGTCCACTGTGACTTTTGGGCTCTGCCAAGGCCTTGAGTCAGGAAGGAAGTTTCTGAGGCACTCCAGGATATTACAGTGGGAGGGACTCAACTAGAAGTCACCACTGTTGCTTGACTGACCTGGTATTTGTGCCCCATTTTGGATGAGGTGGATTCTCCTTTTCTCTGAGCTTATGCCCTCACCTTGCATGTAATTGGGTGTCTGATCCCTGCCTGGACAATCTGTTCCTCTATCAACTCCTCACACACTCACTTGCCAGTTATTGACTAGAACCTGCCTGTGCAACACAGCATGATGTCAGACAGACCTTCTCAATGCTCCCTTCCCTGCTGGCCTTGTCCCCTAAATGCTGTCTAGCCCTCTATTCTTAATTGAGTCATAGACGGAAACACTGGGGAGAGTCATTACCCAGAATGTGCCAGTGTGTGTGTGTGTGTGTGTGTGTGTGTGTGTGTGTACGCACTACCGTGAGTGGCTGAGCTGCTCAATTGGGGGTCTAAACTTCTGCAAGATTAGCCATCCTACAAAGGTGGTCCCATGTTGTCAGAGGGGCTTGTCATCTCTGTGATTAACAGCAATACTTCGTGCAGACAAAGCTGGGTAAGACTAAGAAGGCCTCAACTGACTGATAGTTTAGTTTGGGAAGTTTCTATTGACCTATCTTCAAGCTCACTGGTTCTTTTTTGGGGTGTGTCCAGTCTGCTGATGAGCCCATCAAAGCCATTCTACATTTTTTTTTTTTTAAGATTTTGTTTATTTACTTGTCAGAGAGAGAGAGAGGGAGAACTAGCACAAACAGGGGGAGCTGCTGACAGAAAGAGAAGCAGGATCTCCACTGAGCAAGGAGCCGGATGTGGGTCTTGATCCCAGGACCCTGGGATCATGACCTGAACCTAAGGCAGACACAGCTGACTGAGCCACCCAGGCACCCCTCATTCTTCACTTCTGTCACAATGTTTGGTTTTTAGAAACTTCTAGAATTTCCTTTTGATTCTAAGAGTTTCCATCTCCCTTCTTAACCTACCCATGTGCTCTCATATGTTGTCCACTTTTACTATTAGCTCCATTAGCACATTAATCATAGTTATTTTAAATTCCCTGTCGAATCATTCCAAAGCCTGTGTTGTATCTGAGTCTGGTTCTGATGCTTGCTTTGTCTGTTGAGAACCGTTTTTGTCCTTGGCTGTTTAATATGCCTTATAATTTCTTTTTTTTGAAAGCCAGATGATGTATGGGATAGCAGGACCTGAAGTAAATCAGCTTCTAGTGTGAGATTTCATGTTAATATGGCTACAAGGTGCTCTGTTTAATGTTTGCTGAAACCGTGGGTGTCAGAGGCTCCAAATTCTTCTGGTGTCCTTGCTTTTATTTCCTTGTTGTCTTTGGGTTTCCTCCTTACAGTTTGATGCACCTTGAGCTTTCAACTGTCATCCACTCTTTTTATACAGGAGTCTTGTTGCTGGTAAATGGTAGGGGAGGAAAAGTGTTCTACAATCTTATTATTACATCTTGGGCTCTTAGTGGTTTAGGTCCTCGGGTTGTGACCTTCCTGAGTGTTTCTTAGTCTTTTCCTTTTTCTGCCCTTACATGAGACAGGAAGGCCAGAGGGGCCTACAGTGGGACAAAGGAGAAAACCTTCCCCTGGGATGGGATAAGGCTCTGGTAAGTCTTTCCCTCTGGCAAGTAGGCCTTTGTTATGAGAACACTCTGGCCTGTTTCACAATTACCCTTTTCCTCCCTCTGCCAGAGTGCCAAGGATTCCTGGAAGTCAAAACCCTTGGAATATGGGTGCCCCCACCCCACTTGACCCTCAGGTCTTTCTCACTGTCATGATAGTCCATATTCAGTCTGTAGGAATTCATAATATTTACTATTTAAGTGGCTTTATCAATTTACATTTCCAGTGGCTTCTGCTCCAGGTAAAGTCTGCTGTAACTTCCTGGATTCGCCTGTCTATCCAGATTTGGGGCTGGCAGCTTACCCTGCAACCTCAGCTTTCCCATGGGTCCTAGAAAATCATTTATTTTCCATTGATTGATCTTTTTTTCTTGTTGTAGAAATGAGAGTTACAACTTTTAAAATCTTTACATGTTAGAGCTGAAACCAGAAGTCCTGCCTAAAGACTTTTGAAAAGCCTGCTCCATTTCTGTAAAGACAGAAGTCGTGAAGGGAAGCTAGACATTCTGAGGAAGGTTCCAAAAGAAAATACAAACATCCAAGAGCGAAGAGTCACTGCGCATTCAGACTGGTATGTCGTGACAGTCGTGTTTAGTATCAATCCCCCCTTTAACACCTTGGGGTGCTTCCCTTCTGTGTAACAGAAACTTCTTCTACTTCTCGGTTTTATTCTACCCTGTTCCAACTACCTGCTATGGAACCCATAACTTGCATGTTAACCTCCAAGGGATAATTGTGGATCTGACTCATCATCTGTTGCCTCTGTCTCTAGAGACCACGGTCAGTCTGCCAGGCTGGACTTCATTATCCCATCTGGTATGTTTTCCCTGGCCACACCCCTCACCACCCTTTACACACATAACAAGTACTTCTGATTCTGGGTATATTCCTCTCCAAATCCGTTCTGTCCTGTTCCCAAGAGAAAACAGCAGGGGTTGGAAGAAAGCTGGTGAGCAAAACAGAGTAGAACATAGAATAGCTGGAGGCACAGCTGGTAAAATGAACCCCCAAATCTCCCACGGGGAACCATTCCCTCCTCAATTCTGGTTCATGGAATTCAGATAGTGTTGACCTCATCCTTCTACCCTTGGTGTGTGACTCCCGCCAATCCAATCAAAGCATTTCCTCTACTTGGAAGCACAATTCGTTCAGGATGGTGATGGGACCTGGTCAGAGCTGATGCAGTGCAAGGATACTTTTGGCAAGACTTAAGTATATTTCTTTCTTACTGGACTTGAACCTAGGAGTATGGAGTGGAATGGGGGCACATTTGCTGTCACCATCTCACCACAAGGAAAAGGTGTAATGGAAAACAAACAATGTAGAGTCCAAGTGGACGAGACAGGTAGAGGAGATAGAGAAACAGTCTTGGTGACCCCAAGTAGCCCTGAAGTTAAGATTTCACTAAGGTCAGCAATGTCCCTCAGATTGTCGGTTCCATGCAACAAAGCCTTTTGGTGCTGTCATTATTTGCTTATGTCATTTCAAGCTGGGATTTTTGCCACTTGCCACCCAAAGAGTCCCAAGTGACACAAACATAAATTAACGAT